TTTTCCTCCCTCATTCTTTCTCGCTCTGCGCGCTTTGTCATCGCTGCGCTGTTTACTCGACGATCCCACGCCACGCGTCTCCGACTGCCATGCTTCTTCGATCAGGCCGGAAACGTGGCATGCTCGCGTGACGCTTTTCAAACCGACGAAATTCACAGAGTTCTACCTTCTATCGGGTTGGAAAGTGGGCTGTTCGGTGAGGGCTCGCCCTGGGAAAGTTTTATGGGTAACGATCAGTGAATGGCTTCCTTTGACGACCATGACGCGAAGAGCCATTTTCAGTAATATCAAAATTAGGATTGGTAAATGTTAGTGGATTGTGGTAGTAGATAAATTTGTGATGAGTCTAGTATGTAATTATCGTCAATTATGAAACGTACAAAGAGACCTAGTAGCCAAGATTTCCATTTCCGACAGAAGAGACCGAAATAAATATATATTATCCTCATTATCTGCAGAGTATTTTAAGAAGTAAAGACAGAGATTAACTTGAGAGTTAAGAATCACATTTATACAACAAATATAGTGTATGTTGGACGTTTTTTTACAGGTACGGATGATGGAGGAGCGGCTAGTGAAGGGTGAATACTGCTTGAGCACATCCGGTGTTGGTTCTCCACCGCATTCGCTGCCGTCGACTTCCGGTACGCAGAATGACAAGATCGAGGATGTCCACTGTGCTTGCATTTCGAAGCTAGAAACTCAGGTCGAGGAACAGGTAATAGACGCAACCACGAACTCATTCTCTCTCGAAAATGCTCTATGAAAATCAATCGTTCGTATGCGAAACTCGGTCGAGTTCTCTGTAACGTCACCTTGCCGGTGAATCTCCAAGAATTCTCCAACGATAAAGAGATCTTGTTTCGCAAGCGATTTTGCAGAATCAGTATCCCGATAATCTAACACGGTTACGTCATGATAAAACGACGAGCCGTATCAAAGGATGGACGAGATAACCGGCAATTTACGAACGATTACCAAACGCTTACAGAGGCAGTTGCGGCTTCAAGACGCGAGGCAGGTCGAAGCGAAAGCTGCGAGGATCAAGGAATGGGTGACGAATAAATTGAGGGAATTGGAGCAGCAAAACCAGCATCTAAGGGAACAGAATAACAAGTGCAATCAACAGTTGGAACTGTTGAGAAATCACATAACCAATATCGGCCTGAAACCACCTGTGAGTGATCTCGTCCGTTGGCAAATTTTTACCACGGTTTTTGATTTTAATCTGCCCTTCAACTACTCCTTTTGTTAATATTACAAAACTGTTTGACATCAGGCACCTGCAAGGGCATCCTTATCCCTGGAAGTGGACCCAACGTTACGCAGACGATCGGAAAGCCTGGAGGGAACGCCGCAAACGGTACCGGAAAACGTGCAGAGCGCCGTAGCGGAACCGCAAGCTGGTACCAAGCACCGAAGACACCTGTCCGCCTGTGGGACTATACAACGAGGGATCACGACCACCAACATGGACTCGAGGTAGAATCTTGCGAGAGAATCTTCGTCGACTAACGCTTCGCGCCTACGTACACGTATCTCGCTTATTCTTTCGCAATGATCGCTACTTTTGGCTTTTGCTTGCGTATCGTTCGTTAGCCTGTAGCGTCGCGTATAAATATGTCTCGATTCTCCTTGGGAGGTCTCACGACGTGATAGCGGCGCCCGACTCTCAAAACTGTGGTACCCTGTAACGTCCTGAGACTTCCTGCGGGGATCTGTCGACCCCGTGTAATAATTTGTTCTCTGTTGCCATCGAATATCGAGCTTTTCCTTTCATTTCACTTTTTTCATTTCCTTCGTTCCTTACTGGCACGAGCACATCGCTACGACCGGGGCCTGTCGCTGATCGTGTTGTTCATTCGGAGCGGATCGAATGCATTTGCCAGCTGAATTAGTTCCGTGTTTTATGCTTGCCGTTCTTTTTTCGCTCTAGCTTGCTGTCGGAGGAGCTCGCTGCGGCGGTGGAGAACTTGGTCATGCTGCCGAATATACCCGGCGTCTCGGAGACGAGCAGAGACAGCGGCAGCTCGGAAGCCATTCACGATTACGCGGAGATCTATACACCGAGCAGAGAAGGAATGAACTGGACTCAAAGTACGCAAGGTCCTCGACCACCCACTCCGCCTCTTCACCGATTTCCCAGTTGGGAGGCAAAGATATATCAGGTACAGACGATGTGTATCTGCGAATGAACTTGTTACTGTTGTAATTTTTCCCGAGTAGAAAGTGAACGTGAGTCGTAGATTTGCGAGAAAAACGTACGTTAGAGCTTCGCCAAGAAGTTGTTACAGTCAGTAAGGAAACAAACGCGTTTATGAATTTCATAGGTAGCGGATGGCGGGCTTGGCATCGGTCCACCGACAAACGAGGAATCCGCGCCTTCCACGATGACCAACACAACCAGCTCGTCGAAACATTCCCAAGCGACAGGACACAACTTGACTGCGCACAACTCCCAAGGCTATTGCGATATTTCAGTTCCGGTCTATGCAACGGTCAAGGGTAAGTCTCTGCTGTCTATCGTTCAAATCATATTAATTTCCAAACAGCAAGTTTCCATCGTTCTTTCAATTTTCTAGGGCGAGCCAGTCAAATTAGATCAATGCCGTTTGGTGACAGTTCCGACGATAGTTCGGACGGCGAGGAGCACCCCAATCAAACGGAAACTAATACGAGAATCACCAACAGCTCCTCGGACAACACGGATTCTTCGCTCGGCAGCGGAAGTAGTCCGTCGAAAAGCGTTAAAACCACCAGCAGTCTTAGTCCCGCGAAGAGAAGCTCTAGCGGCTCTCCTAGCAAAAGCGTGAAACGTGGTAAGCATTTCAAATTTCATGTCACTCACGATTCTTGATGACCTTTGATGGCGATCGCACATCCGACAACTTGGTGATTATTGTTTCATTTGTAGATACCTCTCTGGAATCTGGTCTGTCGGAGGACTATGCGATACCTCCCGATGCTCTGAGCTCCACATCCTTCGAATCTAGTATGCCTAGTTTACTGATGCGGGTCTCTGGTGAAAGTCCAAAGCGACAAGAGTCTTTGGAAAAGACCGGCCACCTCGCGAAACTCGGTGGTAAATTGAAAACCTGGAGAAAGAGGTGGTTCGTATTGAAAAACGGAGTGCTCACCTATTGGAAAAGTCAGAACGACGTTAATCGAAAACCTCAAGGCCAAATTGTGTTGGACGAAGTGTGCAGGTAATTGCGCGATGATGTGTTATAGTTTCTTCCTTAAAGAAAATACTAAGAGATTGAAGTTAAAATTACTATTCCAAACAGGATAAACAGGGCGGAAGGTGCTGCCACGTTTGAAATAGCAACAGGGAAGAAAACGTATTACTTAACGGCAGACTGTATCGCAACGATGGAAGACTGGATAAGGGTTTTGCAAAACGTACAAAGGCGAAACGCGACGAAACTTTTGCTCAGTAAGGAAGATAACAAACCTACGATACAGGGGTGGTTAACAAAAGTGAAAAACGGGCACGCTAAGAAATGCTGGTGCGTCCTCATTGGAAAAATGTTCCTTTACTTTAAGTGCCCTAATGATACGGTAAGCCATTCATTTTTTCCATACGTAAACTGTTCGCTAATTTGCAGATCACGTGAATTGCTAAACCCTAAATCTAAATTCTTCATTCTTCTTGCAGAATCCTATTGGACAGATAAATATGAGAGACGCTAGAGTAGAAGAGGTCGAGCACGTGTCCGACAGCGACAGCGAAGAGAGAGACGCTGAATGTCCTCACGAAAGAACAATCGGTATTTTTCCTACCCATCAAGGTCCTACATACTTGCTAATGCCTCATAAGCAAGATAAAGACAATTGGTTGTACCACTTGACGGTGGTATCCGGAGGCGGACCTAGCGCCGGAACTCAGTACGAACAGCTAGTGCAAAGATTGATGGAAACTGACGGGGATCCTAGTTGTGTCCTGTGGAGACACCCGCTGTTGCTCCATACAAAAGAAAACATCACTAGCCCACTGACCAGCTTGACATCCGAAGCCTTGCAAACCGAGGCTATCAAGCTTTTCAAGGTTAATACATATAGTTTAAAAAAATATCGTTCATCGGAAATGATACATGAAAGAGAGTAGTTAAATTAAACGATACTGTTTGTCGCTACAGGCTTGTCAGTTGTTCATGTCGGTGGCAGTGGAGCAAGCAGGCATAGACTACCATGTGGTATTAGCGCAAAACGCGTTACAACAATGCATAGACCAGCCTGAATTACAGTCTGAATTCATATGTGCATTGGTAAAGCAGACAAGTCGTCACACTCAACACCGTTTGGGCGTACAGGTAAAAAAGGCCGCCAGACTTGTGTCGCTGGGTACTGCGCGCGTTGTAAGTCCTGCTTATTGTTTAACAAACACTCTGAACCCTGTACCATTTTTACAGCCGACATTTGTCGCGTGATTTGCATTAAACATTTTACCTATTGGCCAAAACTCTGTTATCAAGCCAGTAGGATTTATAGCCCATGATATTCTTTAAAGAAGTCTATTGAAAGGAACAAATATATAATTTGGACATATCACTTCCGTATAATCAAAAGAAATGGTACATCGGGCACGCTTAGTCAAGTATTATACGAAGTAATCTCGTTAAAGTGGCGGTGAACTGTTTAGTTATCTCCATCCCTTTTTTTTCTTTTATAAAATAACTAACTAATAATTAATACAACTGGTTGTCGTTTATTTGCAAAAGCGATATATAATAATAATAATAATAATAATAATAATAATAATAACCGTAACATTAATAATAATACTTGACGAAGTATTTAACAAAAAATGATTTTAGTTTTAACATTCATTCACATTTCATTTTCATTTGCTGCTTTACGTGTGCTCTTCCTAGGCTACTCTAAAATCGCATGTGTTTTTTTTCCAATTCTTTTTTTTTTTTTTTTGTCATAGAACATCGTCATGTTAAGTTTATTTTATTTTTGTGTACTTTTTGATATTTCTCTACATGATACCCGATCACCTGTACCCTGATGCCCTATCATGTGAGCCGAACATATTTCGACAATTCATTCCTCTCATCTGAAGAATCAGTTAGACTCTCACTCTCTGCGAATCATCGATCATATTTCATCATCGATGCATTATCGATCGATCGTCTGATTTTATTAATAAAATACCACGATCTTCGGACTTGTCAAAATACGTTCTGCGGCACACACACTTGCAGAATGGTATGTTGGTGTACATAAAAAACCACACACAGAAAAACATCTTTTTACTAGATTGATTTTTTGTTTCTGTTTCCGTACGTTTTTTTGCTCGATAGCTCATTACAAGATATTCTCTGTTTTTTGAATGCTGCTTAGAAAAATTAGTCTTTGATTATCTGGTCATACGAAACGATTATGCAAGAAAAATGATTTAAAAAGACAAGGAAAAAAAATGAAGAAACAGCAACAGCTAGAAATTCCTTACAGATTCGAACGTTCGTCATAGAATGCAATTAGATTCGAGAGCTTCGAAAGCTATGCGTCGTTGAGTTATACTAATTGTTGGGGGAATAATTAAAAAGAAAAAGCGTATTCGATTCGTTCGTGGCAGACGAACGAGAGAAAAATGATTTCGAGCTGTAAGGTGGACTCACATGGCCTTAAAAAAAAAAAATAAATAAATAAATACGAAAGCGCTTCTCTCATCCACATTTCTGTTAATTCATTCGACTTATTACAGTTCATGCGTTTTATGTGATTAACACACATAGAGTTATGCGTTAATCAGTCCGATTTCGATTGCTTTACATTACTAACAGGCATTATATTACGACGTGTAACGTGAATCCATAGAGTGTTCCATCAGATCCGAGAACATTCGAACGTTTGTCCCATTGTACTGCTCGTACAATTTTTCAAATGCATATTAAAATATGCGACGAGCTGCTGAGGTCCAATGATTTTCGAACACGTAGCCTCGATTGTCCTAATAATGATAGATTCCATGAAAGAAATAACAAACACGAGGACAGTGGAGCGCGATTTATTTAACGAAAAAGAAAGAAAGAGAAAAGAAACAAAGAGGGGAAGGGGGGGAAAAAAGCAGTAGATTAGGTCTGGTTCGATTCAGGGATATAGTAGTATGCCAGCATACCATTGCAGCAGCTCCTTCTCTGCGCCACGCAATCGCTGTTCACCTGCGATACGCAAAGTCCCGCGGCAAATGGCAGCGGTGAAAATGCGGACGCACAATCGACGGCCTCCACTTCTCACAGTCCTCCGCTCATGCAGGGCCACTCGACGTCTACGATATTGGACTGCAAAACTAATCCCGCCCAGTACGTTCTTATCCAGGGATGGCAGCTGCTCGCCCTTGCTGTTTCTCTATTCCTACCAAGAAACAATCGGCTACTCTGGTACCTGAAGTTGCACTTGCAAAGAAACGCCGACACCAAGTAAGCCACCCTCGATCTTTCACTCGTGTCACGTGAAATTTGGATTCGAAGACCTCGTAGACCTCGGACTAACAATGAACTTCTCGTTTCTTCGTTAGAACGGAATGCGGCAAATACGCAGCCTATTGCGAGAGAGCGTTGGAGAGGACATTGCAAAACGGCGGGAGGGAAGTGAAGCCCTCGAGAATGGAGGTTCTGTCGATATTAATGAAAAATCCCTATCATCATTCCCTGCCGCACGCTATACCGGTTCACTTCTTGAACGGCACGTATCAGGTTGTGAGCTTCGACGGCAGCACAACGATAGAGGAGTTTCTAAATACCTTGAACCAGGAAATTGGTTGCCGAGACGTTCATCAGTCGGGCTTCACGTTATTCAGCGATGATCCCATCGAGAAGGATCTTGAACACTTCATCGACCTTCAAGCAAAAGTATGTACCGCGAGAGAGTATTTGTGAATTGCAGCAGAAATATTGGAAAAGATATTTACCGACTACCGTTGATTTCATTCGTTTCACAGCTTTGCGATATAATCTCCAAATGGGAAACCGCATTGAGGGAAAAGGGTCTAGGAAAATTCGAGAATACCAGGGTAATACAGTTAACGTACAAATCGCGATGTTACTGGAGACAGGCAGCTAAAATGGAAACCGACAGGGAAAGGCTTCTTCTGTGTTATCAAGTTAATCAGCAAGTCGTGCAAGGCAAATTTCCAGTGAATCGAGAACTTGCATTTGAGCTTGCGTCGTTAATGGCACAGGTGAAGTTGCGTTCTTTAGAAATAACAGTTTTTTCAATCAGAGGGATTGTGTTAATATAACGATCAAATATTGCAGATTGATTTTGGAGAATATAATAATGACAAAGCCCGAGGAAGCGGCCCAGGGAGTAATCCTCATCATCTGGTGCTGCAAGCTTTGGACAAATTTTATCCCTTACGATATCGGACAAACATCACTTCCGAGCAATTGAGGCAAGTGTAAAATAAATTGCAGAGATTATGATTAAGTATCTAAAATCAGTTATATCTAAAATCGGGGATTTCTCATTGTAGAGAACTGCAAGAAAAACTGCAAGAAAAATGGATCGCGTTAAAAGGTCGTAGCGTATTAGACTGTGTTCGCATATATTTAACTTGTACTAGAAAATGGCCTTTTTTCGGAGCTACACTGTATCAAGCCAAGGTTGATAACAAAACTTTCTTTACAGATACGAAAATAAAAGGTAAAATTATTTAAAGATATCTTCTTGTATAGTTGAAGCAAGCTGAACCGATAACCGTATGGATAGCCGTTTCCGAGGATAGTGTTACTCTACTGGAACTACAAACGATGGCAGTAATGTGTCGTTATAATTATGCAAACATAGTTACATTCGGAGGATGTTTGGATGATTTCATGCTGGTCGCTTGTCCCGATGAAGGTGCAGCTGAACAAAAACTTCTGTTTGCTCTTTCGAAACCTAAGGTATATCATCGAGCAAGCTAGATTTTTAATCGTAAGAAATGAGATTTTTAAGACGTTAAGGATTATCTATTCGTCTCATCTTTGTACAGATTCTGGAAATAACATTGTTAATTGCCGATTATATGAACGCCTTGGGACATACTTTGCCTGGCACCCCACAAATGAACACGTTAACCCGTAATGGATCTCACCGATCCATAAAATCGACTTTAAGACCCACCACTGGTTTGTAAAAACACGTATCTTCCTATTTCGTTCTCTTTCTCATTTTACTGATGGCATGAAAATTAAATTAGGTTCGGGCTGTCTTCCAACGCAACCAGACATTTTAAAGTCGACGCCAGACCACCAAAGACCTTAAGAAAAAAAACTGGTCAATCGATTTCGGAAAAAGAAGCAGGGAAATATGGCATTTGGTTCATGAAAGTCTGATCCTGCCAAGGCACTAACTTTATACTCGAAGGTACTACAGGTTGTATTATAAGAATCTGCGTAAAATGATACACTGGATGACGCTCAGCAACGTGTGCGCTGTAGTTGATTTTAGTTGCGTTTTGTGTAAATTAGAGATGATGCTTGACAGACAACGTTTTTCTGTATATACCTGACGGCATGCAAAACTCTGTAGTCCACGCGATTTGAACGTGGGTGACTGAAATTAATTGAAAACGATCTGCAACACTGCCTAAAGTAAATTAGTATGTCTGAAATTACATCGAATAGTTTCATTAAAAAAAAAAAAAA